GTTACAAATTATTCAGCGTGTTGCCGGCTTCGCCCACGACATCGCTTTACAGTTCCCTTTAGAGCAGCTGGCGTCGCTCCGCACTCTGCATTAAATCACACTCGTTACTGCGAAACACATTTGCCACGCACACGTTTTTCACTCCACGTCGCTCGTAACGGGTGCGTCACGCACCGGCCACTGGGCGGACAGCTCAAGTCACGCCCGTCACACACCGGCGAGGGTTCCAGTCCCGAGAGGCCTCGCAGTACTATCCCGAGAGCGTTCCGCCTCAACGGCGAAGCACGCCCGTGTCCACATCGCGGCGGAGCGCCGCTGCAGTGACCGGCGGCGCCGCCCCTCCAGCGGGCATCCCGGTCCCATTTCGTCAGGCGGCGGGACGCGGTGAAATGCGGCCGGAGCGTCCAGCGGCGCTCGGGGGGCGCCGGGCAGGGCCGTGCCGACCGTGACGCAACGGCGCCGCCCGGCCGGCCGCGCCGCCCCGCAGCGCCACCGGCGGCGCATTGTCGGCCGGCGGCGGGGCGGCGGCCGGCGCCGCTGGCGGCAGATCCCCGCGATGCCGCCACGCTGGGAATGAGACCCGCCGCAGTCAACGGGCATTGCGTCACCCTGACCGACCAATGCAGGTCAGGTGCGTACCGCGCTTACGGGAACGGGAAGACGCGGTCGCGGGTCGGCGGCGGTGCCAGGTTTGAGACGAGCGACGCTGGTGTGCCGTCAGATCGCGTACAAGGATCGCGTCTAAAATATGGTCGCATCCGTTATTTTGGCGTCCGTTCTCAAATGCTGCCGTTGCTGTGGTCCAGAGGATTGTAGAGCTGATCTGGACAGGGTATTGCTGTGATACAGTGCGGTTAATATCATAGCACTTCCAATGCGGTTTAGCCAAATATACCATTTTTTCCGAATCGATCAATATCAATATGAAATTTCTATGTCCACTGCATCAGGCAAGGGCAATGTCAGCTAGAATCCGATGGATGGGAGTCAGCGCAGACTCGAGGCGGCTGCACTGCGGCCCTGTGCGGCACGTCAAACCCCTCACGGTCCTGTCCGGCGAAACGGCGGTGCAAAATTATCCGTTCAACCGGGTGCGCTGGGTGGCACAACTTAATGGGCTCCGGATATGTGCAACAGGCTTTGTTTAGCAGGTTCTCGGAACCCATATATCATGCAGACCATTTGGGGCAAACTTATGAAATAAGTATACACTTTGCAGGTCCGATTCGGTGAAGGCACGACATGCGTTGGTCTTCTTTAATGCCGAAATCCTGTTAATGCCATTTTGATACAATGTATACGGTTCACCGGTCAGGGCCAGTATTGGATCATATGCCAGAGCCACAGGATCTGACACTGGCTCCGTCAAATCGTCAAAGCCAAGATCAGACCCAATGGGACCGTGTGCTGGTGCTGGTCGCCAGCTTCGGCCGCTATCGGCGGATATCCCGCTCAGATGTCGTCCATGCAGCCGGCGGGTGGCAGTGCCGGATCGAGCGGAGCTGTGTGCAAGGGTTGGTGGCCCGCATCACAGCCCGAGGGCGCGAGACGGGTCGGAACCGGTCCGTTCGTCTGGCTGAGCCTTTGCGTCACATGGTCCGGTGTCGAAAGCGGGGGGTTACGCGCGCCAAACCTAGAGGCGCTGACGAATTACGTGGACAGCTGGCGTGCCAGGTCAGCTGTGTGTTGCTGTGCTGTACAACTCGTGTTCGGTGAGAGGGGTGCAGCTCAGCTAAGCCGTCTGCTAGCCTAGCCACCTTGAACCGTGCCACATTACCGCATATCCCGTAGGCGGTGGGATATAGAGGGAATATGTTCACTGTTTCCAGCTTCCAACGTAAAACGTAGGGATGGTTAGGTTCGAAATGGAACATGTGACTGAATTACGTCCCTGATTTTTCGCGCACTAAACTGTACAAAATGAAACGTGTGCCCAAATCGTAGGGGAGGGTGTAATATATTGCTAGATCACCCACACACGAACGTTACTTCTAAATCGTTACCTTGTGTAAAAAAGTTAAATATATTCTTATGCGCGAACATGGCGTGAGGTGACATTGCCCCACTCTCTCGCTAATACTCAACAGTAGTATATAAACCCTGTGAATTTACCCACACTTTTTATTTTACTGACCCGTTATCTGTTTTGAAGACTGCGCACGCGCGCCTCAAAATTAATGGCAGGCCAACTTCCTGCTCCGCGCGCGGAGAGATCCAACCACAGCCCCCTTCATGATACCGTGTCACAGTGCAGCACGGCCATCCGAGGAGCGGGCCTCACCTCGCCGGCATGTCGTCACCGCTCGCGCGCATCCGTTCCCACGTTCCTGTTTAGGCCCGAGTGGTGACAGGCTGCTGGCGCCGGCGCCGCCTCCTCTGGAGGTTCACGCTGAGTGAGCACCGCCACCCCAGCGGCCGGACGCCAAGTGTCGGTCCAGACAAATGGCTTCTTGAAACCTTGACATCATGGGGTGATTGCGAATAACATGATGGGCGAAGAGACAGTTCGTCGCTTTTTTCTCCGTGGTCAGGGGGTCGGATCCAACCTCATGCATGCGCCCGCTCAGCGTTGCGCAGGGCGTTCTCGGCCTCCTCGGCTGTCGCCGCCGACCCGCCGGGCGCGGCCGGTCACATGTGCGACCCGTTCCTCGTTGCCGGGTCGTTGCAACACGGGTCAGACAAAGGTCGGGAGCAGTTCGGCGCTCGTATCTGGAGCGTGAATCTGGTCGACGAGCATTGAGAGGTCAGAGGGGCGGGTCCCGTCGGCGGCTGACATCGGACGATCGCTTAGGCAGCTGACGGACGGCCTCCTCCGGGGCGTGGTGTCGGTTCACGTGGTATTCGTCTGCCACGACAGGACGAATGAGCGGCATGTTCGAACGTGCCCGCTCAAGCAAGGCTAGATGACGTCATACACTAGCATCATCGTCAGGCGTGGTCGGGCTTCGATGTTGTTTTGGAGGCTCTGAGGTATACACATGCCGTCTTGGACGCCGCCTCTGTTGTGCGGGGAACAATGATGGACTTGTTATTCAGCAGCACTGGGTACCAGTCCCAGAGAAGGTGCATCGTTTGGCTTAACGGATACGGGCAGGTCAACCGGCAGCTGGTGAAAATGGCTGACCTGACCCGGGAGGCTGTGCCGCGTCACGATACAAAGTAAGCAAGTCCATGCAGTCCGTTTGAAAAGGTCTCTTCCAAGCCGCTACTGTATAGGAATAATTTAGAGGATGCGATCGTTCGGATGGGCGAAGCTTTTGTCCGCTGAAGGATACCGAAGTCTCATGTCCTCGTCCGTGTTCTCGCCAAACTGGCGGACTCAGGGACTGGACAGGGAGAGCCCTGAATTACTCTTCCGAATGAATGGGAGACTACAATGTAATCAAAGGAAGAGTAAAATGGCTTCCTTCCTCATGATTGGCCAGCGAAGACAATACACTCATCGGTGAGAGAACAATCGCCTCCGCCGCCCACTGCCTGCGTTCCGCTCCGCCGCCGCTGGCGTATGAGAACCCGGGGCCGCTGGGCGGACCTCCGTGCACTACCCTGGGACGAGGACGGCGGCTGAAGTTCAGGCGCTCGGCGACCGCTGACGAGTCCAGGACCAGGCGACGTGACACGGGTGACACCGTGCATCGGCGGCCCGGCCCTGCCGTGGCGCACGTCCATGCACCACCCGACGCTCGGAATCCGCCCCCCCCCCCCTCGCAGTCTACCTCACTTTCTCTGATCGGAGCTAGGTGTCGGTGGGTTCCGGTCTGCCGGCGGCCGGCCTTGTCTCACCACGTGCTACGGTTCGGGCCGGTGCTCCAGCGTGGTGGGCGTGTGACCCGGCCGGCCAGGGCCGCCGACGACGGCCGGCGACGCCGCTAACTGGCTCACTGGTCACGAGCAGCGAAAGTTTTAAGTGGCATGTACACGACTGGAACCCAATTGTTCACTGGAGGTACAGCCGTGTCCGCGATGTTTCAAGAAATTGAGGCATCTGAAGTCGCATGGAAAGAGGAAGAAATTCCATAGACCCCATTCGCGTCGTCTTGCTAAGTTTCATCTCTGGATGAGCAGTTAACTAACCAAAATTCCGAAGTAGAGGGCCATGGTAGTGGCTGAGCGGTACCGCGAAGACTTATCCAGACGGCAGCCGATCCGACCAGAATGTTTGTGAGGAATCTGACCTTTCCTTCCGCCGCAAATATGCACGTGATTTCGTGCAAACCGTAACGTAATATTTTTGTCGGCAATGACATGCGCTTTGGCTCACCACTTAAGGCTCATGTGGCATGTATGCAGATTTTATGCATACTGGCTATTTGGCGCGCGAATTCATTGCACGCCCCGATGGGACGTTTTCCGATGCACTTACTCTGGTGCCCCGGTGAACCATCCTTGACCCACAAACACGACCGCGGCCAATCATCCCGATCAACTGACATGCTTGTTTTTTATGGTGACCTGCAATGGGATCGGTGTGCCATAACCGCGTGAACCGCACAGCGGCATTCGGTAGCTCCGGCCTGAAGGCTACCCCGCCGCTGACCGCAATGACAGCACCACCTCACAAAGCGCGGTCGGTTCGGCCCGTGCGGGGCTAGCTCCGTTTGGGTTGGGCGCGTTGTGAGCTATTGGATAGCCTTGAAATGAAATGGTTGTTTCAAGCGTTGGAGCCTTTTCGGAAAAGGAGCCGCTATGAGGTGGACTTTTAGCAATCTTTGAGACTGTGGATTGGATGATCCAACAATTCAAGCCAGCATTCTGGGACTGCTAACGCGTAGCTGCCTGGCGACCTATTTAAACACATGTGTTTTCCCAGCGCTTCGATAAGAGGCTGTGAATGCATTGTGCAGTGGCGAAAACTACGTTCGAACGTGTGACAGAAAAGCCGTCTATGTCACGGGGTTCGAAGGTGTGGCGAAGAAGCCGGTTATCGGGCAGCGATCCCCGAGGAGGCATATATAAGTCGTTGTCATGAACGCGGGCCAGTTACGAGCGTGGAACAGCGCTGTCACAACCAAGGCCCCGGGGACTTCACTGGTAAGTACGCGCTAACACGTGCATGGAGACCAGATTTCATCAAACAGGTTGGCCCGTATAGGCATTTATCGGAGAGCTGCAATTTTTCAGCCATAACGAAAACAATACAGTAATCTCTGTCGATGATGACTTTCATGGGCACTTACTCTGTTTATTGCAAATGTATATCCCTACACAAATCGTAGCATCTGGGGCGACAGCCCTACTATATTCCACCCAAGAAACTGCCCAGGAACTTCCATTTCCTGATAAAGGCGCACCACATCAAACATCGGCTTATCCCCGCCGAAGTCGAACTTCAAACACCTGCCTTTTTGGCACAAGGCAAATGAAACCCGGAGGGTCATAATTTTTTAGTCCTTTCCAGGCGCGTTTGGTTAAGTTCTGGCGCACCTCGCTCAGAGGATCAAATGCAATTATATCTCACGGTAAACACTTAACCTGAAGGCAAATTTCATGCACAGTTTACCTAAGATACAAGGAAGTAGCCAATATTTCATTAGCGCAAGATTTTCTTCGTGGAGGTGATCCCGGAGCCCATTGACGACTCGTTGCACTGATTTTTAGCTTTGTATTAAAAGCCATCTACGGCGCTAAAAAGCGAACCCAAGGGCCGCTTCTCCCCCACGTCTCTGTTAATGTATCATTGTGCATAGGATATGACAAGAATTGCAGCATGATAGGTGTAAAGGAACCGCGTATATTTTCTCTGAGACCAACCGACGTGAACAGCGTCGTCTCAAAAAAACTGCGGGCGCTTGTTCCGAACGGAAATGCCATCAATGTTCCAGGATAGGGGCAGACAATATGAAGGCTTGCTGTGTTTTAGGTCCAAAAACAAACCCAAAGGTCCAAGACCTGAATCCTGTCACAAGAGAAGCCATAGGATCCGATATCTACCCTTGAAAGGCAGGCGTCTAGGCGTCTGGAAGACTTGAGCATGAGTGTAGTTTTAACCCAGCCGCTCTTCGAATTTATAGCGCAGTGAGCATAGAAACGTTTAACCAAAGAGTTTACTTCGATTTTGTTACAGACGGGTTTGCTCGTCTTTCTCTTCCGCTGCAATCATCCGCCCTTGCGCCTGAAACTGTTAATGTTTAAGCATACAAAATGACGTCCGGAGCCGCAGAAACCGCCCGGAGTGGGCAACTCGCTATTTGGAGAGCAATGGAATTTGGTAGTCATTGCGCACACTATTTTGAATCATAGGCGTCGGGAATGAAACCCTTGCCGAAAAAGCCGCCGAAGTGGTGCGCACTGCCATATCAATGCATTTCGTGCTGTTAGCAGACTTACAGTAATCAAGGCTGCAGTGCTATCACATACGATTAGGGTGGCCTGTGTTTAAGGTTTCTGGGTACATCGACCGCCTGGCTGTTTGCGTTTTAGTCTGTTAGCTAGTTATTGAAGCATCCGGAGTGCATTGCTAAGAAAAATAGCGAAGTAAATGGTAGGTACGTGTTCACATTTTGAAGCTTATCGACATAATCGCTCTGAAAATTATTTTAATGCACTCATATGACCCCATATCACATAATGATAAATTTTGCAGTGTCTACCTTGTTCTCATGTTTTGCTGGACTGAAGGCACCAGCTGCCCAACACATTAACTTGATCATCTATTGCATAAAGAGACCAATCTTGTTATTGGCAAATTTTTCCACAGGTTTTTCACAGTGTTGTCAAAAATGAATGGAAGGGCTGTTTTGAAATGGCTGTTTAGCTGAGTTAAGTAGGTAATCACTGTGTCTAGGCAGATTATGCATGAGTTGTTGTCATGACTGCACATGCAACTGCCACCAGACTTGTGATTGATGATTTTCTGGGAGATCATTCCTGATTCTGATTACTGCCAATGCTAATGATATTGCTGGCGATTCTGACAAGCTAAGTGCTGAATGCTTTATGATGCTGATGCTAAGAAACGCAACCCACTTATGAGCAACTTGCTTGATCACAGTTTCCATTTTTGTAGATGTGATTATTTCAGGCATTATGGTGGACTGAAATCTTACTGTGGCTCCCAGGGATTTTCAGATAAGTCAGCTGTACCCTGAAGGAACAAAAAATTCCCAATTCTAGGATCAGCTTTGGCTTAATACCTGGTGGTGTGATGGACATGTGTAATTGCTCAGAACTAACTCTTGACTAACGCGATAAGTGTGATGCTGATGCCGTGGTGTCCATGTCAAAAGGTTATCAAAGGTTATGCATTTCTACCTTATCTTGATGGGTTGGTGTAAATGTGCTGAACATTTTCTGCTGGTAAGCTTATTTGTTGTGTACCATGTTTTTCACATTGACAGTGTAATGTGTGTCTGAAGCACCTCTGCCACAGAGCATGGAAATCAATAGTGCAAAGGTACTTGCCTGCTGAATGGCTTGATTGTCTGTATTTTGAATTATTGGGCATTGAGCTGCAAAGGTACATGAGTTGAATGAAATGCTTTGTGAATAGTGATTGGTAATTGTGTAACAGGGCTTATGTGTTAGGGACACATTTGTGTCTGACTTGCTGTAAACAAACATCAAGAGGAGAAATTTATTTCAACCTAATGTGCTTAAGTGATATACAACTTGGCAAGGATGTCTGTTAGTTGTGGGTGTGATGAACAAACTAGATTTAAGAAGCAAACTTACCTTGATAATGAGATTTGTTATGCCAAAGACATGCAGCAATTATATTCTGAATGTATCAGGATGGCCACTTATGTGAAGCATCTGGCTTCTAAATGGCTGCCACTCTGTTTCATTGTCTGTCATGTTGAATATATACTTCTTGGCAACTGCATGGGAAGAAAGGAAACAACTTGCAACATGGGGCCCCTCTCCAGGTGCACAAAATAAAATGCCTTAAAATGCTGCTTTGCCCCCACATGTTTTTCCAGTGACAGAGCTGGTATTCTGAAACATGCAGTGTCTCTCTTGCCTGCCCTATCCCTGATCATGCCATTGACTGAGTCCCGCCATGTCCGCCAGATGGGTCTGACGGGCATGATGGGCATTCTGTCGGCGGCGGTGGCGGCGCTGGTGCTGCCACCTGCCGTGCTCGGCTTGGACAACGGTCTGGCGCTGACGCCGCCCATGGGCTGGCTGGCCTGGGAGCGCTTCCGGTGCAACACCGACTGTGTCAACGACCCGAAAAACTGCATCAGGTCAGTCGGCTGCTGTCGCCGACCCGAGCCCGCGCGTCAGGCCGGCGAGAGCATCAGGTCGGTTAGCCCCTGTCGCCGACCCGGGCCACGCGTCAGGCCGGCGAGAGCATCAGGTTGGTCAGCTGCTGTCGCCGACCCGGGCCACGCGTCATGTCGGCGGGAGCATCAGGTTGGTCAGCTGCTGTCGCCGACCCGAGCCGCGCGTCATGTCGGCGGGAGCATCAGGTTGGTCAGCTGCTGTCGCCGACCCGGGCCGCGCGTCATGTCGGCGGGAGCATCAGGTTGGTCAGCTGCTGTCGCCGACCCGAGCCCGCGCGTCAGGCCGGCGAGAGCATCAGGTTGGTCAGCTGCTGTCGCCGACCCGGGCCACGCGTCATGTCGGCGGGAGCATCAGGTTGGTCAGCTGCTGTCGCCGACCCGTGCCGCGTGTCAGGTCGGCGGGAGCATCAGGTCAGTCAGCCGATGTCGCCGACCCGAGCCGCGTATCAGGTCGGTGGGAGTATCAGGTTGGTCAGCCGCTGTCGCCGACCCGTGCCGCGTGTCAGGTCGGCGGGAGCATCAGGTCAGTCAGCTGCTGTCGCCGACCCGAGTCACGCGTCAGGTCAGCGGGAGCATCAGGCCAGTCAGCTTCTCGAGCCTGGTGGGGGTGACTTGTGGGAAAGGCTGCATCTAGCTGGAAGAAAGCACAGGGGCGTCTGCCATTGCGCTTCCTTTCAGCTCGATCGGGCCGTTTGTACTTTCATGGCCACGGTCTAACTTTTGGGAGTCCCCATCAAGCTCCGTCCCCAGCACGTGCCCTCTCGTTGCATGAAGCCGATCACATCAGTGGTGATGCGAGGAGAGGGAACACTGCGAGTGCGTGTTTCCTCCTCCGCCAGCCCTATAGCTCAGCTCTCGTCGCGAGCATGCCGTGGCGCTAACGAAACACAAACATCAACACCGTGTGAGTGACGCCGTGTACATGCTGTGCGCACGACCCCATTGGTGGAGCCGGTTCTGGTCGGCAGTGCCGTGACCTGGCATGCGCATCCCCGCCAGGCTGTCCCGCCAGTGACGTCTGACTTGCGCGAATAGCTTGCATCTCCCCACGTGCGATTGGTGGTGACGCCACGGCGGTGTAGTCCCGAAGGTTGTAATGCACCCCAGCGACGCCGTGTAAATAGGCTCACAAACGCCCGGCTGTGACGGATGACGTCATCAGCTGGTAGGGCGGCCGATCTGTTGATAGGGGTCAGTGACCTGCCGGCCTACATCGGTCCCCACTTGCCCATTAAGGTATTGAGAGCCGATCCGCAAAACTCAATTTGTTTGATGAACCGTACATAAGTGTCATGTTGGTGTAATGGCCCCATGCGTGGAGTTGCGTCTGCTTCTAATGTCATGGGTGTGTGGGTTACCAGATACCATGGCTAATGGATGTCATTGAATTAAGCCGGTGTAACCAACTTTGGTGTGCTAGACCATATCCATAAACGATGATGTGTGTGTGTTTGACATTGATGCTAGTGACATATGTCTGATGGCTGATGCAGACCTGTTCCCAAATGGCGCACTCATCATTATTTGCGACGAACCGTTCTGTGAGTCATCATGGAATTGCTAGGTACTTTGTGACAGTATTCCTCGGTAGTGTTTCGCGTACTTGGACCTTGCGCCCTTCCATTACTTTGGCTCTCCTAAACTTTGGTTTGGGAGAGGGGTATAGACCGCTTAGAAGCACAGTGCTTTATTGATTTTTGATGTTGTGTAGGTTGTGCTTTTAGGGTTATCCAGTCAGCCAGGATTACAGCGTTGCGAATACGACGCGTCCTTGGTCACGTAGGCAGGAGGCGTCCAAGCGGACGCAGGTCAGATAGCCATAGCACTTTCTCTCGAGCACTTGCCTTCGCCGTGTAATTTAGTAGCCCGTAGCTAGAGCGGATTCATATGCATCTTATCCAGGTAGCGTGAAAGTCAGCGAGTGGGTCATGTGTGCTTCTCAAGTGGCGGAAGGTGAGCCTATGTCTGGCGAGGACGATACGCGCCCGTCCGGCGCGGTTGGCAGGCCACGCACCACGTGTGCGAGGAGCTCCGCGTGGCTATGACGGCGGGCGTGGCTCCCTCTTGCCACGCACTGCCAAATCTTGGGTGATGACGCTCGGAACCATGCCAGCATGCCACCTGTGGTTGCATACGCGAGCTGATATGGATGCAGTGTAGTGTAATCACATGCAGCTATTTGTTGAATGACAGAATCACGACCTGTGTAATGTGAACACTGTTAACCTCATTTTGCATCATTGCCCCCCGCCCGTACGCCTCTACACCTCCGACCCGTAAACATGTCGTGAGAAGCTAATGGGATGTAATGTGAGCGATTCGGTTCTTATCGCTGATTAATGTCCGCGTAATTACCGCAAACTATATCAATTACGCTAATTGCGAACGGTCATAATTGATATTATGCCTTTGAACCGCTCTGGTTGTCGAGCTTTGATGATGCATTTGCGGTAACGTTGCGCCATAAACGCTGTTCTCCAGCTGTGCCGGTGAAAGGCAAAGGAACTTCAGTCAGGTTTTCTTTCCATAACCTCCTCTCGATTCGCTGTCAACTTTGTGGTACGTTCGCAAGCAGTGGAATTTGATTATTTGTTCTGTTGTTCAGAGCCATAATGTGAATAATGTTTTCATTTATAGAATCATATCCCGGGTGGAAACAAGATGTTTATTCGCTCTTTCAGTTTACAAACCTTGCGAAGCGTTGCAAACTCATCTTTGCAGAGAAAGAAAACTGAGGCACGCATGTGCGAATTTGACGGTTTTTTTTACATCGCTTCGGTGGCGTGGCTTTCGGTTTTGGGTGTAACAACAGTTGTGTTTAATAACTACCGCCTACGTTATCCGTCACTGGCGAGCCGAGTTTGTGAAACACGTGTTTTTTGGATCTATACACCACGAGTATTGGTGTAGCACAGTACAGACGTCTCCGTTTGCCTTTGATGATGCGAACGTATTGGACCTACCAAAAGAAGCTTTCTAGTATGGTCGCTACCAGAACGAGCGTATCCGGTTCCCTCAAAAACAGTTTTTCAACTCGACAAATCCCAACACTCGAAATGATTCCATCTTTGCATTTTGTTCTCGGCTGCAAACGCCGCGATAATGAAAGTGCGGGTAAGTAATAATGGCCTCCCATTTGGGACTTAATAAAATGCAGATAGTACATGAGACCGTACGTCGCAACTTGCCATATATTAGAATGGAAAACGTTTTTTTTTTTAGTTTGGTCAGTTTTTGACATAGGCTTTGACTTCCGACAGTTTGTTACAATCTTCACATTTCACGCTCCATCAGCGATTGATTGAGAGCTGGCTGCATGTTTGCTTGTACAGTCCAAAGCCCGACAGTTTGTAGTGGCCGTGCCGTCCCGACTCACCCCGGCCAACCTCTCCTGCCGTCACCGGTCGCTGGCTGGAGGCTCTGGAGAGGCGCCGCGGACCGCCCTCACCTGCCGTCACCGGTCGTTGGCTGGAGGCTCTGGAGAGGCGCCGCGGACCGCCCTCACCTGCCGTCACCGGTCGCTGGCTGGAGGCTCTGGAGAGGCGCCGCGGGCCGCCCTCACCTGCCGTCACCGGTCGCTGGCTGGAGGCTCTGGAGAGGCGCCGCGGACCGCCCTCACCTGCCGTCACCGGTCGATGGCTGGAGGCTCCGGAGAGGCGCCGCGGACCGCCCTCACCTGCTGTCACCGGTCGCTGGCTGGAGGCTCTGGAGAGGCGCCGCGGACCGCCCTCACCTGCCGTCACCGGTCGCTGGCTGGAGGCTCTGGAGAGGCGCCGCGGACCGCCCTCACCTGCCGTCACCGGTCGCTGGCTGGAGGCTCTGGAGAGGCGCCACGGACCTCCCTCACCGCCCACTTCCACCCAGCTCACGATGGTCCCCCGTGAGCCGGACATCGGCGCCCTCCGCCCGACGCCCGCCCCAGGCGTCCCCCCGCCCCGCCCCGCCCCCATCTCCTGACTCAGTGAGAGCGCGACTGTGACTCAGTAACTCAGTGAGACCGGACGCTGCGCTGACCCCGCCCGGCGCCCCGGGCCGCCCAAGGCGTCCCCCCACCCCGCCCCGCGCCCTTCTCCTGACTCAGTAAGGGCGTGCCATGCGTGCCCCGGCGCCGCGCTGACCCGCCCGGCACCCCGGGCCGCCCCAGGCGTCCCCCCCGCCCCGCCCCGCGCCCTTCTCCTGACTCAGTGAGAGCGTGCCATGCGTGACCCGGACGCTGCGCTGACCCCGCCTGCGCCCCGGGCCGCCGCAGTGAGAACCTGTTCTACGAGATGGCCGACCGGCTGGTGGCGGACGGCTTCCTGGCGGCCGGCTACGAGTACCTCAACATCGACGACTGCTGGCTGTCGCGCGAGCGGGACGCCCACGGCCGGCTGCAGGCTGACCCCGACCGCTTCCCCAACGGCATCAAGGCGCTGGCCGACTACGTGAGTGGCGCTGATGGTCCACTCCGAGTTGGTGGCGTCTGGGGCTCACAGGGAGGGAGGGGAAGTGGCGAGCTGCGAGTATGTTGTTGATCTCAGCAGACTGTTGTGGACTGTTCGTGCATTTCCAAACCCTGTAGACAAATGGGACGTTGCGAGTGTCACGGACTTCGCGCTGTTGGGTGTGGGTCTCGTGGGCCAGTCATCTTTAGATTGTGCGAATTTTGCTGGGCCCTATTGGGTTGTGCTGGTGTCTCCAAGACTTTACAGGTGCTATGTGAAACCCTAGGCTCGTCTGAGCACCGAGGGGATGTGGATTTTCCCAAGACAATGCACACACTGTGGCACCGTTTGGGCGTCACATTCAACCTCTGCCCTGGCGGTGTAGATGGATGTCCCAGGCCATTGGAACTCCACTGACCCGTGGAATTGTTGCCAATCCCAAAGAGGTTCACTGGGTCACCCCCCATGTATCCAGGCGACATCACGCGGCGTCTCGAACCAGGCCAGAGCGACCCCAGTTAGCTTGGCGCACATCGGTGTGCAGGAAGTGTTTGACGGTGGACAGGACCCGTGATCTGGTTCATACGCCACCGACCAAGCAGTATAACGTTATCACAGGCGTCTTAAAAACAGAGAGGGAATGTGTTTGTGTTTGTCGTGGGTAGAGGGCAGCAGGTGGGCCTGTTAAAGGCAGTGTCATATATTGCATATCGCATGGAGTTTTGAGCTGAAGCAGCGATCTTGAATACGTTTCGGTGCTACTCCTCCTGTCCTTAAGACCCAACCCCCTTTAGTTCCCGAGCCTCATACCCGCGAAAATGGGGAAAGGCATATCGGGGATAGTATTTCGAAGCCACTTTGGCATTCATGACGTCACAATAACGTCTTTCAAATCCTACCATTCCATGAGTCATGCGGCAATCAAGGCCAATAAGCTACAATTGTCAAGGCGTTCATATCTGGCGCTCGTGAGCGTGATCTACAGATGTAACGACCGTCCATTGTCTCAATCATTGTTGTGCAAGGCACGATCACGCAATCAGACCATGACGCATTGAGGAAAATGGTTACTCGAAGGAGAATTTTGCTGTCAAGCTCAGTCTTTTTCACTTAAAAAGCACACCAATAGTTATAAGTGAGCTTGTTTCATCATACCTGATGCTTGCCTCGACATCTTCAAATGTGAAATATTTCATTAAGCAGGGTTTGAGTGAGTGCGGCGATGTTGCCCGTCAGCGGCTGAAGGGAAAAGCTGTCGGCTGGGATGAAGGATGCAGTTGAAGTGCATCTGATCTATCGGCCCGGGACAAAGGGCAGAACATATGTGGTGACTTGCTACCGCACGGAACGGGAGCAGGAAGACGCCTTTGTTTCCAGTCCTGACGAGCCGTGCGCCCAGTGTGCGGTCCTACATGCCACATGTAGTAATCCCATGATTTCATGTGTCACCATCTAGCCAGATGGTCTGCCGCTCGGATGGTGGAGCTGATTATGCTTGGCTGCTTCGGCACCAGCGACCCTGATTCATTGCTGGTGGTAGGCCGTACCCTGTGTTTTTCGCAGTTTGCTGTGAGGTGTGCTGCATGAAACGTGGCGCACCGGTGGGTTGCGTCCGAGGTGGCCGGTTAGATATGGTCGAATATCGCACCTGGCTGGAATGTGGACTGAGTCCAATACTGGAGCCGTTCCGCCAAGAGCTGCTCCAGCTGCCGACAGCTGGCTAACGGGGTCCGGTTCGGGTTCAGGTTCACTCCAAGGGTCTGAAGATTGGCATTTACGAGGACTACGGGAACTACACGTGCGCCGGCTACCCGGGCATCCTCGGCTATCTGGAGACGGACGCGCAGACGTTCGCCGACTGGGACATCGACTACGTCAAGCTGGACGGCTGCTACTCCCACCCCAAGGACATGGATCGAGGTGTGACAGCGGCTGGGAATGCAAATATGAGTGTAGCGGACCGCCACTAGATGGCACTCGGGGTAACATTCGTCTTGCAGATCGTAAATTGCCTTTCGGAAGACATTCACTCTTATTTGTCAACGTGAAAGGCAGTTTCTAGCACTGCATGCTTGCTGTTAATGTTGTCCTCAGCATTTGAACTAGATGCGTTGACAGAATGATGCAAGATTTGCCATATAACATACCTCCTAGTACTCTCTCACTCGTCACCATTTTATGTAGCCGGGGTTTGGATATTGGTCATCTGGCCGCGCCATCTCCTACTCATCGCTTCATCCGAAATCCTTGAAACGCCCCCTGCTTTGCCGGCACTTGAAGCTGCCGTCTGCCACGAGGCGGCGCCGCGACCGCCCTAGCGCGAGTCCCTCCCCCCGCACCTTCACAAACCCCGAAGGCGGGCCTGGACAGGCCGACCCTCGGCGAGGGAGTCCGCCCGCGGCGGCTACAGTACTGCCACATCACGCACATGTCTGTAATCCAATGTCTGTGGAGGGGTTGTTGTCGCCCGAAAAAGCTCTTAACTGAACAAACCAACATGCGTCGTCTAAGGGCATGGAAAGCTGCTTAAGATGGGCCACGGCATTACCTGATTTTTTTTTGTCACACTATGGCTCTGAAAGTTAGTAATAGCCGAAAGAGCTTTCGCCAACTACGTCCCTCCAAAAAATCTGAAAAGGGGTACATCCATCCTTTTTCCACCGTCTTTCTGCACTCCCGCAGCACCTCAGGAGAGTGCTGCGACATCATCCATTTTTTGTTTTTGAAATTTGATCCGAACCCTTTGAATGGATGGATTTCTGGGATCAGCGCTTACGCTAAGCAGTGCTTGCTGTGTGAGCCCTGACCCCTACCATCCGATCGCGTAATTCCAGGCAACGGCAGAATATAGTGTCGAAAGCTTAACGTGCCGCAATGCTCGGCACGGCCCGTCCTGCCCTCTGACGTCAACTGACCTTTAGTGCGACCGCTGCCACCGGCCGCAGGCCATACCTGTCAAGGGCAAATAGCGAGCGCCTAAAGCGACTCGAACCCACCCCGCCACGGGTGGGTGAATCGGGAGGCAGGCGCTCCAACCAACTGAGCCACCGGGACGGACATCCATGACGAAAAGTCCTTCCCCCCCCCCCCCCTGGACATCCGCACAGGCACCCGCGCGCGGTCCCTTTGCGTGGCAAGCCTCAGTAGCACCAACACCCCGAGCTGGCTACGGCACCGCCTCAGCTGCTACCTGCTACCGGAATGCCGCCGCCCTGAAATGATCAGTGGGCGCCGGAGCAGCTCTCGTCGGACCAAACCAAGCCGGCGGCCAAACGAGCGGGGCGTGCACGTGGACGCCTCCTGTTTGTTGTGCTCCGGCCTCAATGATATCGATCGTCGGACGTGTCCTCCCACGGGACGCTTGCGCCGCCAGTGCGGGGCCGGATCAAGTCCGCGATAGTATCCGCGGGGCCATGACCCTGTTTGAAGGAGCCTTGTTATGGTAAGCAGGTCTGCATGCGGACATGCTGTCCGCGATGTTTGCCGCTTATTTTTTACCGTCTCTAATCGGGTCACATCAAAATGGAACACAGCTGACCAAGGCGTAACAGAAATGACCCTAATGTTCTGTTTCTCATAGCGGTTTAAACTTCACATGCTCCCCGAGGCTTCACGTCAGCATGTTACCCATATCCAGCGACTCTAAAACATGTGGGTACCATTATCGGCTGGGCTGCTATATATTGCGCAGTTACATGTAATGACGTCGCCCATTTCAGTCCGTGTCACTGAATTCACACTGTCCACACTGCCAGTTGTTACCGAATCTGACGTCGCTTCAAGCTTATCAGCAACATCGAACCTGGGGTTGCCCATTCGAGTTGCCGCTTCTATGTGACGTCCGACAAAATGAATGCGTTTTTGGTTCGACGCGGTTCAAAACTCCTGGCTCGCAGTGAGCGACGTGCTGGGGACGGCCGTGAGCGACGTGCCGGGGTCGGCCGTGAGCGACGCGCCGGGATCGGCCGTGAGCGACGTGCCGGGATCGGCCGTGAGCGACGTGCCGGTGTCGGCCGTGATCGACATGCCGGGATCGGCCGTGATCGACGTGCCAGGGTCGGCCGTGAGCGACGTGCCGGGGTCGGCTGCGAGCGACGTGCCGGGATCGGCCGTGAGAGACGTGCGGGATCGGCCGTGAGCGACGTGCCGGAATCGGCCGTGAGCGACGTGCCGGGATCGGCCGTGAGCGATGTGCCGTGGTCAGCTGTGAGCGACGCGCCGGGGTCGGCTGTGAGCGACGTGCCGGGGTCGGCCGTGAGCGACGTGCCGGGATCGGCCGTGAGCGACGTGCCGAGGTCGGCCGTGGACGACGTGTCGGGGTCGGCCGTGAGCGACGTGCCGGGGTCGGCCGTGGACGACGTGTCGGTGTCAGCCGTGAACGACGTGTCGGGGTCGGCCGTGGACGGCCGTGGACGACGTGCCGGGGTCAGCCTGCCGTGTTCCCTGTGACGCCGCTGACGGTCCGCTGCCGTGCCCGTGCCGCAGGTTACCCAGAGTTCGGCTACTACCTGAACCGGACGGGCCGGCCCATGGTCTACTCATGCTCGTGGCCCGTGTACCAGATCTACAGCGGTATGACGGTGAGTGTCTGCCCGCGCCGCCGCCTGTCCCCGGAGGCGGGGTCGCCGCACGTTCCCGGCTGCTCATTAGCTGATGGGGCCGGATCCGGCCTGGGCCGCCGGCCACCTCCAGTCAAGGGTCCCCCTCCCACCCCCACTCCACTTCATTATTGGAAACGCGCTAACGAGTGGTGCAAGCGGACGGGGCGTGTCGCGTTACACACTCCGCGACCGTCTGCTGGATCAACGGAGTGGGTCATCGATGTGCGTTGTGAACGTGGGGTGGTTGGAGGTTAGATTCGGTACCTGCGGCCGCCGAAGCCAAGGGTATTGGAGGATGGCATGTGACTATCCACGTGAGGTTGAGGCACGGTAGTAGTTCACCTTTTCGCCAAGCTGTGACGCAGCATTTAGGCGGGTATAGTGGATCAGTCTCGCATAGATCGGCCCAGCAGCTTTATGTAGCACGAATAAGTCCTCCCCCCCCCCCCCCGTTGTGAAAGAAGGCCAGCGCGAAAGCAGCAGGTGAACTGAGATGAAACGGTCCGGGTGTTAGGCCAGGGTACAGACAAAACGCGTGTGTCTGGCTGATGATTGACTGTCCCGTCATCCACGCACGTTTACGCGCTCCCACGAGCCGCCACACGGGCGCCGCCCGTCCCCAGCCGGGTCCCGCTCACGATCGCCCGTCCCCAGCCGGACTACGCCTCGATCGTGCAGCACTGCAACCTGTGGCGCAACTTCGACGACATCCAGGACTCGTGGGCGTCAGTGACGAGCGTCATCGACTACTACGGCGACCAGCAGGCCGTGCTGATCCCGCTGGCTGGGCCCGGACACTTCAACGATCCTGACATGCTCATCATCGGTGAGCAAGCGCTGCGTTCGTGCCGTGCTGGCCTGGTCATTTGAGCGGAGCTGCGACTGTTGCTGCCGGCCGGGTGAAAACAGCCGACAGATGCCAGCCCGCTGAAGAAGCGCCGGGGATACGTCCGGGGCTTAAATGAGCGCAGAACAGCGAGCTGGAGCCGCTGCTAGTGACGTCTTAGGAATTTGTTGCAGACTCTTTTGCGTGTCGCCGGCCAAACGTAGCGTTGGCATCACCACGTCCTGGGCTCCCGCCGTCCTCCACATGGGTCCACCAGTCCCGGTCCGCCAGTCCCGGTCTGCCAGTCCCGGTCCGCCAGTCCCAGTCCGCCAGTCCCGGTCACCAGTCCCAGTCCACCAGTCCCAGTCCGCCAGTCCCGGTCCGCCAGTCCCGGTCCGCCAGTCCCGGTCCGCCATTTCCGGTCCGCCAGTCCCGGTCCGTCAGCTCCGATTCGTCAGCTCCGGTCCGCCAGTTCCGGTCCGCCAGCCCCGGTCCAGCAGTCCCGGTCCGGCAGTCCCGGTCCGGCCCGTCAGTCCCGGTCCATCAGTCGCGGTCCGCCAGTCCCCCGTCCGCCAGTCCCCGTCCGCCAGCCCCGGTCCGCCATTCCCGGTCCGTCAGTCCCGGTCCATCAGTCCTGGTCCATCAGTCCCCGGTCCGTTAGTCCCGTTCCGCCAGTCCCGGTCCGGCAGTCCCGGTTCGCCAGTCCCGGTCCGCCAGTACCGGTCCGGTCCGTCAGTCCCGGTCCATCAGTCGCGGTCCGTCAGTCCCGGTCATTCAGTCCCGGTCTGCTAGGCCCCGATCCGTCAGGCCGGGTTCCTTTGTGCGGGGGTGGCCTCAGTCCGCTCCCTGCGGACCCTCTGCGCCGGCTTGGCCTCGGTTCGCTCCGTTCTGTCAGTGGGTGGCGCCTCTGTGCCGGCCTCAGTCCGCTCCCTGCGGACCCTCTGTGCCGGCATCAGTCCGCTCCCTGCGGACCCTCTGTGCCGGCTTGGCCTCGGTTCGCTCCGTTCCGTCAGTGGGTGGCGCCTCTGTGCCGGCCTCAGTCCGCTCCCTGCGGACCCTCTGTGCCGGCTCGGCCTCGGTTTCGCGCCATTCGGTCAGTGGGCGGCTCCTCTGTGCCGGCCTCAGTCCGCTCCCTTCGGACCCTCTGTGCCGTCTTGGCCTCGATCCGCTCCGTGCGGTCAGTGGACGGTGCCCCTGTGCCGGCCTCAGTCCGCTCTCTTGGGACCCTCTGTGCCGGCATCAGTCGGCCCCCTGCGGCGCCCCTGTGCCGGCCTCAGTCCGCTCTCTGCGGACCCTCTGTGCCGGCATCAGTCCGCTCCCTGCGGCGCCCCTGTGCCGGCCTCAGTCCGCTCCCTGCGGCGCCTCTGTGCCGGCCTCAGTCCGCTCCCTGCGCACCCTCTGTGCCGGCTCCGGTCGATCGCTGGACAATTACCTCGCCGAACAAGGCCCAGGTCGGCCGGCCGTTGTTTGTGCTCGGACGGTGGTGGTGCCGCCCACCGTCAGCGGCGTGTACACAGACCACTCGGCCAGCCCGGCTGGCACAGACCTCTGAGTGCCGGCGGCCTGACGGCTCGCTCTCCGGCCCTCGTGCCGGCGGCCTGACGGCTCGCTCTCCGGCCCCCGTGCCGGCGGCCTGACGGCTCGCTCCCTGGCCCTCGTGCCGGCGGCCTGACGGCTCGCTCTCCGGCCCCCGTGCCGGCGGCCTGACGGCTCGCTCTCCGGCCCTCGTGCCGGCGGCCTGACGGCTCGCTCTCCGGCCCTCGTGCCGGCGGCCTGACGGCTCGCTCCCGGGCCCTCGTGCCGGCGGCCTGACGGCTCGCTCTCCGGCCCCCGTGCCGGCGGCCTGACGGCTCGCTCCCTGGCCCTCGTGCCGGCGGCCTGACGGCTCGCTCTCCGGCCCTCGTGCCGGCGGCCTGACGGCTCGCTCCCTGGCCCTCGTGCCGGCGGCCTGACGGCTTGCTCCCTGGCCCTCGTGCCGGCGGCCTGACGGCTCGCTCTCCGGCCCTCGTGCCGGCGGCCTGACGGCTCGCTCCCGGGCCCTCGTGCCGGCGGCCTGACGGCTCGCTCCCGGGCCCTCGTGCCGGCGGCCTGACGGCTCGCTCCCTGGCCCTCGTGCCGGCGGCCTGACGGCTCGCTCCCCGGCCCTCGTGCCGGCGGCCTGACGGCTCGCTCCCGGGCCCTCGTGCCGGCGGCCTGACGGCTCGCTCTCCGGCCCTCGTGCCGGCGGCCTGACGGCTCGCTCCCCGGCCCTCGTGCCGGCGGCCTGCGCGAGTACCCAACAGCGCGCAGGCACCGGAGTCGACGTTCCCGGCATGGTCGAATGCTTATTTACATAATGGTTTCTTCGAGCTTTGGAGTATTTTGTTGTTGTCGGTTGTCCACCGCTACACGACGGTCGTAGCCCACCACCTTGAACACTACCCGGAATTGGGTATCCAAGGGAATGCGTTGTGAATATGTGTTTTCGAGTCTTTATTTGCCCATACTGTGTGTTGACTGGAGTGTCGTCTTAACATCTTGTCTAAACTTTTTACACACACACACACACGCACGCACGCACGCACGCACGCACATTTATGCAGACATAATGCGCGCGCACGTAGATGTTTCATACATGCATACACATACGCATTCATACATACGCGCACCCATACATACATACATACATACATACATATATACACATAAACATGCATGTACATTCACACACATACATATGCATACATACACGCATACATACACGCATACATAAATATATACATACACACATACATACATACATAGCATATACATTCAAACAAACACATCATACACGCATGCACGCATGTACACATGCATGTATGCATACATACGTAGATACATAAATGCATAATGTGTACATACAAACATATGTATACATACGTGTGCGCTGCAGGTTGATGGCACGTTGGGCCTTTTGAATACGGGCACCACCTTTGGTCAGGCTATGCAGCGCGGTACGATACAGCTCGTGGATCGTTATCGGGAATGCGAATCCATGCGTGTTGAACAGCGGGGTGCGGCCCAAAAGTGCAGGCGTTTTTCTCTAGCGTGTATGCGCCGTCAGGTGCGATTCAAATTTTGATTTTCTGGTGGCATACCAGGAACCATTTTGACACTTGGTAGGTCCATGCACCTCCTGCTACTGTCCTTGAATATTACCCAGCTCCAGCGGCGTCTATTATTCTCCAAATAGAAGTCTGGTCAAGGCAGCTTTAAACAGTTAAGTGGTGTAGAAGCATTGCGCATGTTTTTAGCAAAAACCAAACAATGAGCCGAGCTGTGTGGGTAATGAAGGTCATGCTCATTAACCTAGATTTTGCCGTGAGCCAATATTAACACCTTACTTTTGTAGCCAAAGCTTGTTTTGACGGGGCCATGTTTGAATGTCGTGAAATCTTCGCATCACCCAATAAACCAGCCATGTGATTGCCCAAGCCGCACATGGCAAACATCATCAGTGGTAATAGTTCTGTCCGCCGTGGTCAGCTGCCTCCACATGCGGACTGTTGGTTGTCACCATCAGTGGTAATAGTTCTGTCCGCCGTGGTCAGCTGCCTTCACATGCGGACTGTTGGCTGTCATCATCAGTGGTAATAGTTCGGTCCGCCGTGGTCAGCTGCCTCCACATGCGGACTGTTGGCTATCACCATCGATGTTGCGGTTCGAGGATCTGATCATTGATGCTGGTCAGACGGCATCATTAACACTCACGCAGCCCGTTGTAAAGCACTCTTACCAAGAGGCTCGTATCTCTCAGCACTGATTAAGCCAACGACGGATGACGCGCTCCGCTCGCCTTCTTTACACGGAGTCGTTGGATGGCGGCGCTCTGCATGTCTTCGGATGCGACTCGTTCTGTCTGTAACCATCTGTGGCTGTATCTGTGTCTAAACGTGCCCAGTTTACCAACAGTACATGGTTAATGAAGCATACCGATTTGCGCTCGTTGATGGTGTGTGCTAAAATTAGCATTAAGCATTGGCACTTAGCTACTTTTGTGTTCATCGGCGTCGTGTAGTCAGGATTTGGCTGTGTCTGTCATACACCTATTGCGTTGCACGTCAGTTGCCAGTAATTAAAAAAAAAAAATGAAATCGAGGTACGAACTGAACAGGTCGGTGGGAAACATTTGCCATTCCAATAATTGTTTTCCTGTTGTAAATTCGATAAAGGCGCGGCGCTGGTAGCCGTATTAGAGCAAGTTATAACAAACCGTTCATCATTTCGAGGCTCCGTCAGTCACCCTCGTTCGTGACCAAGCCCATACTGTAACTCCTGTTGACGTAATAGCCCCGGCATTGATTTGTAGCACAGCAACCTTTCCGCTCGAATTCCAGTGATCCGGCCCATCTGTCTCTGGCTTGGGGTTCGCTTTTGTGATGTTTAATCGTCTTCACTTATGGTACATTTTGTTCTATGGAGAACTGATGCGGGTTTTTTTCTATCCACAGAAAGTGTAATTTCATTCTAGATTTCGAATGGCTCGCACCGTTGTCAAAAATAGAATGCATCAGTCGACATATAACTTTGAAAGACACCGCCGTTGGTTTTTGAAACACCGATGCACATAGAATACCCCTGTGTTCGACTCGCCTCTGATCGGACATAACTAGGTTGTTAAACGCCGATTAACTGCACAGCGCAGTACCGCAAGCGCCTCAGCCACTAAACCACATATCTCTGTGCGAGCCATGCCCTGTTACCACACCCCGTGTCAGCGCCGCACCTCGGCGCCGGCTGACGCCCCGCTCCCCCGCAGGCAACTTCGGTCTGAGCTTCGAGCAGAGCAAGGCGCAGATGGCGCTGTGGTCGGTGATGGCGTCACCGCTGCTCAGCTCGGTGGATCTGCGCACCATCGGAGCCGACTACCGCGCCATCCTGCAGAACCGCGCCGTCATCGCCGTCAACCAGGACCCGCTCGGCATACAGGGCAAACGCATATTCAAGGCAAGCGCCGCGCCGGCCGGGGACGCGGGGGCGGGCAGCTATGTGGCGGCGGTGGGGGGGGGGGCGGGGGGGGGGGTGGGGGGCGGTCACTGCTTCGGGGGGGGGGGTGCATTTGGCAGGCCTGAGTTGGTCTGTGTGGAAATGGAGTGTGGGGAGAGTGGCGGGGGTACTGGTGGGCTGGTTCCGGTGACTAGAGGGCGAGTGTGCAGTCTGAGTCCGTGATTCTGGTACCGGACTAGGCGCGTCCCGTGTGGCGGCTGACGAGCTGGCGGGCGCCCGCCGTGTCGGGGTGCCGTTGGGGCCGACTCGGAGCATGCGGTCGGCTGGCTGGCGGCCGGGTCGGCGGACCGGTGAACCGGTGACGGCTGGTGGCGCTCGGCCGGCGGGGCGCGCCCGTCACGGTCCGGCCGTCACGACAGCCGGGCGGACGCGTCCCGGCTATCGATTCCCGTCGCCGGCCAACGTCGTTTCTTCGTAATGAGGGGATCCAACAGGTGTGGCTCGTGGCTGGCTAGGGCCGCGGTGGCCGCGGCGGGTCACCCGAGACGAGCCGCGCGCTTCTGAACGGGAGTCGTCTGTCGCCCGCTCAGTATGGTTTTATCAGCTTGCTGGCCGAGAGACGGTACGGTGCCCAACGACCGACTGTTCTGGGTTGATATTAATGAAGTCATTTTACCCACGCAATTTCCAGCTGGCTCGGTTGTTTGATGACGCATGCCGCTGGATATATGTCAGGTAATGTTACGACGCACGCAAGCAAGCGCCACAATAATACCCGGTTGGCACGCTGCTAAGACCATGTAGTCAACGACATGTGTACGCATGCATGGAAGTTGCGTCGAATTCGCCACATTTGAAAACGCGGTAACCGGTGTTTTGAATGACTATGTCGCTGAATGGTGTTATTAAATGAAGCAAAAGTGGCTAAGTTGTGCAATGGATGCAATACCATGTAGCGGTCGGCTCTGAAACACGTCACCAGTGACGTGTTAACCCTGCCCCCGGGTCGGAGTGCCGGGGAGGGTGGAGGAGGCAATTAAAAGAAGCTCTCCCGTGCGGTTTTTAACAGGCTCAAACTCTGATGTCTTGCAACTTGGTGACTTAGGACGAGCTTGTGTCCAAAACTCATTCCAAGTTTGATGTATGCTTATTCCGTCTTTGTAGCCGTAGTCCTAATTATACAACGGAAGACCAATGACTTGGTCAGTCATGGGCGGCACCCGGGGAATGTATGTCTATATTCTTCTATTCGTTTCCGTAAGCCGGTAATCAGTACGCAATAAACGACATCCTTTAAGGAAGGAAGCCTAATTTCATTGAAAGAATAGGCCCAGCTCATTCATTTTGGCGAATGAGCGATATCAAGATGACGAAAGTGGCCGTAGGAAACAAAGCACGATGATAATATCTCAGTTTTATCGCACGTGTTGCAGGTGTTCACAGGTCGTGTATATTCACTATCTTGGACACTATCTGCAAGGTGCCATCGGTTAATGTTGCTGTTATCCGGGTTTTATAATTTCTTGAAGCGTAGAAACTGCGTAAGTTGTGTCAAACTCATTCCAGGCTTGCTGTACGCTTATTCCATCTTTGTAGCTGTAGTCCTAATTATTCGCCCAAAGTCCAGTGACCGGGTCAGTCACTAGAAGCACCATGGGAAGACATGTCTAAGAACTTCTGTTCGTTTCCGTGAGCCGGTAGTCAGTGCGCTTAGAAAACCGTCTTATCGGAGTGTAGAAACTTTGTGTAGAAGGGAAATGGCGTGGGTCAACGATATGTGCAAGCTTATTGTGCACATTTTCCAGTATTTTGCATTCGATTCTCAGCACCATTTGGAGTTTTGATCAGAGAAACAAAATCTCGCGTTTAGGATATCCCGCGTGCAATTTGTTTCCTGTCAGCGTCACCCTGGAAGAATCTCGTGATTTCGTAAGTGATAGTTTAATTTGCAACCAGTTCCCGAACGATCTGTCAGTGGTTCGTGCAGATCTGGTGCGGGGGGAGGGAGGGGGGAGTGGAAGGGAGTCTGAACTACACGTGCCCGCATTCTTGCCCGGCTGGTCGCACGGAACCTGGAATGAAAAGTGTGGCTGGGATACTTTGCCCGTGTGGCTGCCTTGTTGAAGCAACTTCTTTCTTGAAACCTATGCCGTGTTTCAGCGTGATCCCTTGCCCACTGGGGGGGCAAACACCCCTAACTGAGCGGCCTTTATGGCTGAGTCGTTGAAGTTGTCAACGCGCGTGGGCTGTTAGCCATGCAGCCACGACCCGGGGCATTGAACTATGCGCACAGCGGCTGGTCAGTCTCAACTAGTGTATTGACATTGAGCCACACGCGGCAGATCCTTGAGGCTTTGCTGCTTCTTACGAGGGTTTTTGAAGAGCGTCGTTTGCTTTGAGCGGATGCGCATTGGCGTAGTCAGCTGGCGGCCTAGATCATATGTGAGCTGAATAATCAGTGAGGCTCCACAGGCGGCGATGAGACGGACATTGCTGCCCCGAAGTTTCCGACTGGTCTTTGACAACTGTTGTTTGTCCTCAATTGCGGTTGTTCTGTGACAGTAACTAAGGAAATCATTAATTCACTTGCAATAGCCCTCAAAGTAGGGTGTCTGCGCATTTTTCAGCAGCCACAGATGGGGTTCAATCGAAACACTACCATCATCGCCCAATGATTTTTCACTCTTCGTCAACATGTTTTGCCGAACGAGTTCAGGTTCAATGGCGCGAGTCACATGACAGTAATGTACCAATTTTCGGCCCATTTGACATCGATCGTATTGATGTCGTTCGATGTACCCGCTCCTGGCTCGTGGTGGCCTTTTTTGCTGTGGCTCGCTCAGCGTCGAAATTACTGTGCCGTGCAAAAGCCTTTATTTGAGAAACCCGTTGGCAAAGCTACTGTGTTCGAACCAACAAGACGTAATTATTGAGGGTAGTTTGGGGAGAGCAAGCTCCAACGGAAGGCTTCCTGTTATTGTACCCGCGCATTCGATCGTTTGGCTGAACTGCTTTTTCATTGTTTGAGGAGCAGCTCGTTATTGCCCTGTCGCCATATGAATTTGAAGACTTTTTTGTACTCTTTGTGCCTATGCTCCGTGCTCGCCAAAGAGGACGCACAGCCTTGCTGTTGATGTCATCGGGACGACGGCGGAATTTCGGGACGCTTTTGACGATAGCTTACGCCCGTCGTGCTATGCTACATAATCAGTACTATTCTACACCTTGAAGCGCATCAGGCAAACCCCGTAGTAACTTAAGTCCTGACCTCATAAGCAGACGGTTCCGGGCCGGCGAGCTTCGCCACGTCTTAACTAGCCACCATCAGCTAGCAATCGGCTGCAAAACTGCATGCGCCGCGTGCAGCGGGCGTGTGCATTACCGGCCGACATCGTCTCTGGGGAGGCCGTCCCACGGCGACCCATCGCGGCCGCCCGATAACGCGCGGCCCGCGGCCGGCGTGACACCAATCGATGCCCGGCGGCCAGCGGCGCGCGCGAGGAGTGTGAGGACGGGTCGGCCAGCGGCGAACGTCGCCGCCGGCCAGGGTCGATGGGCAAACACGGCTGGACGCCCTGTCGGCGGGCGTCTGCGCTCCTCTGGAGAGCACGGCCGCCTGCCGGGGTCGATGGGTAAACACGGCTGGACACCCTGCCGGTGGGCGTCTGCGCTCCTCTGGAGAGCACCACCGCCTGCCGGGGTCGATGGGTAAACACGGCTGGACACCCTGCCGGTGGGCGTCTGCGCTCCTCTGGAGAGCACGGCCGCCTGCCGGGGTCGATGGGTAAACACGGCTGGACGCCCTGCCGGCAGGCGTCCGCGCTCCTCTGGAGAGCACCGGTCGCGGATGCTCCCGGCGTGGTTCGGGTCGGGCAGCGGGGTGCGGCGGCCGTCCGCCACGAGCGCGTGATGGGACTGGGAGACCGCCCCGCCGCTTGTCCGGGCCGAGCTTGGCTGGCTGCGCCTGTGTGCCGCTCGCTGAACGCGCTCAGCTGACCGCCGTCCGTCGCTCCCGCAGGACAAGGGCATCGAGATCTGGGCGCGGCCCATCACGCCCGTGGTGGGCGACTTCTACTCGTACGCCATCGTGTTCTTCAACCGACGCGTGGACGGCACGCCCAGCCAGGTGTCCGTCACCATCCAGGAGCTGGGCATGCTGAACCCGGCCGGCTACAAGACGGAGGTCAGTGCTGACGCGCCAGGGCGACCGCTGCCGCCCACCACGCGGCGGTGCTGGGCGGTGGTAGCCTCGGCAGTTGACTGTGCTGACACATGTCGATCGCTGGCCCCGTATTCTCCTTGAGTGGTTCCAGTATTCACTAACGACACAGTTGGCGTAGAACGTAAACACGGTTTCATTTAAGGACGTAACTATTCCAGGAGAACTGAAGGACAAACAGCATAATAGAGCATAGCTGGCGTTACAAAGGGCGTAAGTCAACTGTTAGTCTGGGACGACGCACACACGGCCCTGTTGAAGGAAAGCTGAAGCACAGGCACAGAGCGGCAGAAGATATACAGTGTCACGACCATGCCACAGTGCACAACAGTTCATGCAAGTGATCGGCGCACAAATCGGCGCAGTGGCGCGGAGCGGGTGGCGGGTCCCACGGCAGCAGTAGACGGAGCCCCTGGACGGGGGCGGGTCCCACGGCAGCAGCGGCGCCGGGCAGCCCGGCTGATGCCTTCCGGAACCTCCGGACAAGGGCGGGTTCCACGCCGGCAAAAGACGAAGCCTCCGGACGGGAGCGGGGCCCCACGGCAGCAGCGGCGCCGGGCAGCCCGGCTGACGCCTCCGGAGCCTCCGGGTGGGGGCGGAACGCCTCTCGAACCGACGGCAGCGACATCAGCTGGCCGTGGCGATGACGGTCAGCAGCTGTCCAGGCCGGCGCCTCTCAGGCAGCAGCTGTCCAGGCCGGCGGTTCTCAAGCAGCTCGCGTGTGAGCCCCACAGGGCTCTCAACACTCCAGCACTGGCAAGACGAGTTGCATCTTTTCCACTTGTTAACTAAAGACGGAGCAACATGTATGGCCAGTCTTTGCATTCTGTCTGGTGATAAATGCGAGGATAAATGTAGCGTTTTACTCACAATAGCTTGGACAAGTGCACACAAAAACGCGATATATCTGGCCATAAGTCTTCATCAGACATATACAGATGAAGCAAATATTTCCCCTCCATTCTTCACATCCACCTTTGTGCTTGCATGCTACTGCGGGTGCAAGGAAACTTTTGCGTTTAAATGCCTTTGGGAATTTCTTATCAGCTTGCTCCACTGCTCCGCATCGCAATTCAGGAGGGAAGCTAGAAGCATCGCCTGAGCTCGTGACAACGTCACACTGCACATGCGCACGAGTTCATTACCTTTTTGACACATTTAGAACGAAGCTAATGTTCTTCACTAAGCAGCATCATTCCTCGCCAGGACGTTGGCGGCTTATGCCAATGCCCCTGAACTGTGACTGCACGTATTACTTTTTTGTCAATGTTCCACGCTGTCGCTGCCATTTGCACGGGCGATTAGTCTGCATAATGCAGCGCCGGACGACGCCGAGGTGTCCCGCTCACAATGGACGGCGTGACACGCAGGCGGGCCACCTCTGTCACGGCGTGTTAACGGACGTAACCGTGTCCGCGCACCGCCCGCCGGCCGTGCGGTACCCGGCCTGCACGCCGGCGGATTCCGTGTCAGCCTGCGCTCCGTCGCTGGGCGCGCCTGACCGGTGTCCGGCCGTGGTCGGACCACCAGGCGCCGGTGGCGGCGCCGGTCACGGGTCTGGGGCCTGTGGACGCGGCCCGTGGGCTGGGCGTGCGGCACGCGGGACCTGGCGACGCTCTGAAGGAACCTGGCGACGCTCTGAAAGGACCTAGTGACCCTTTGAAGGATGCGCCCTGACTTTGTTTGGTGGGGCGCTGCGCTTGATTATCGGAGGTTTTTCCTCAGGGGCGGGCTAGAAGACATCGAATATCTGATGACTGTCTCTTAAGTTCTAAAGTAAAGTTCTAAGGTCTCTAAAGCTGGGTTTCCCGTGACACTGGGCGGTTGTCTTCCGTCGTGTTCATGTTTGTTGATGCTACCATTGTGCGGCACTCATGGTTTGAAGGTCTTTCTCTCATGGTTTCTCCCACTTACTGCCGCCCTTTTGTGTGCCGTCGGACGTATTCCTTGGTGGCGACTTTCCTACCACCGCCAACCAGTCACTTGCCAATATGATATGATGTCGATTCCCCCATCAATACTGTTTGTGTGTGAAAGGGGAAGCGACAGCTCTTTTTTCTGCCCCTGGTATTGGTTTTAACAAATAAGTAATGCGTCCCGTATACACTGCATTACACATGAATGTCCGTTTGCACCGTTGTTGGCTCAGCTCCTCACGATCCTTTGTGGGGGCGCTGTTACTGCTCTATACACAACACAAGTATTCAATTGTCAGCGTATAGTGGTACACAGTTCCTTTGTCCGGTGTTTGCCCTTGAGCCGGTGTTTGCAGAGCGGCCTCCGAGGCGCTGCGCCGCCGGATGGGCCCTGGTGGGCGCCCGGCGGTGCCCGCCGAAGCTGGTCATACCGATCGCACGCGCACTTGGGCACGTCCTCAGGGCGCGCTGCGGTGACGAGTCTGCGTCTCCACTTGTGTGGCATCACTCGTGCAGACACTGTTCCGCCACGTGTCCTTTAGGGGCGGGGGACGGGGGGTGCAGCGAATGGGGCGTCCGTTCGTTAACGCGGGCCGTCAGCCCGATACACATCACACCCGTCCGCTGCGATTTTCATCAGTGTCCCGCTAGCGTTCGGCGCGTGACGTCATGGCTCCTGACCCCGTGGATGTAAAAGCTCTCGGTCCTGTTGATGCCGAAGCTGCCAAGCCGGTGGATATCCAGGGCTCAACAGCCTGGCCTGGCCTGTGACCGCGCAGGCCGTCCATGAACAGGCGGCGCATGATTGGGCTCCGGGGCCGGTCGTCACGACGCAAACCCTCATCGCCCGGCAGTTGACTGCCGGCTTTATTACCGCCGCACCGGCTCATTATGGATCGCTTCCCATGAATATGAGACAAACGTTTCTAAAGCGAGCGGTCGTGCTCCGGGGTCTTGCATCGGCAGCTAAACACCCCGTCTGACGTCCGACGAGCTGTGCGGACCGTCGGGCGTAACGCCTCCCGGGGACCAGCGGAAAGAAGCGCCGGCCGCCGCCTGGGCGTGGCGCAGCGGCGAGCCGAGACCCAGACCGCCGGCCGCGTGCTCTCTCCGTCCCTCGCCTAGTAAAACAGGCCACGTCATGGGCGCACCGTCAGACCGCCGGCCGCGTGCTCTCTCCGTCCCTCGCGTGCTGTGACCGGCTGGCGGACTGAGGCCGGGCCGCTCGTGTGCATGTCGTCCGACGCGGTGGCCGCGGAATGGCCGACCGGCGGCGCATTATGGGGCCATTGGTGGCCGATTGGTCCGCTGGCGACCCGTACGGCGCGGCCCGGCCGATCACCAGCGGCGTGATGAAGCGCCGAGCGGCAGCCACGCTCGCCCTCGGTGCCCGGAGTGCCCCCCGGCGCCCGTACGGCGCGGCCCGGCCGAACACCAGCGGCGCGATGAAGGCCGAGCGGCAGCCACGCTCGCCCGCGGTGCCTCGGAGTGCCCCCGGTGCTCGCGGCGCGACGCTCGAGCCGTCGGGAGCGACCCCCCTGGCCGGTGGGTGCGGCGGCGCCGTCGGCCGTCGCTGAAGCGGCAGCGCTGTCGCAGCTTACAGCCCGCCGCGTCGGCTCCGGTGGGAGGCGCGTGGCGGGGTGGGAAGAAAGCGGCTCTGAAACGAGCTGCGCGAGGCGAACAGGCGGTATTAAACGGCCACCGATGAGAAGCTAGCTTTTTCGGTTATTTGGAGCTCCGAGCGCAAATAACTAACACAGTCGATGTGCCCCTCAAGCCCAATAACTAAAGAGCTCCGAGCGCTTCCGCGCCTCCTCGTGTTTACCTCGCGTTGACTCATTGGAGCTGGGCTCTTGCCCAGCAGTTGACCAGTTGTCGCGGCGTCTGGCTGCCAGCAGAGCCTGTCGCCCCCCACCGCCCTGTTTTGTGGCATCGCTCAGTGTCGCTGGCGCAGGAGCGGCCATGTTTAGTTGGCCTGGGCTCGCACTCTTGAACAAAGTTGTGACACGCCCAGCGGCTGTTTGACGCGTAATGTGATGTTTTCAAGTTACGTGCATCGGAAAGTGGGGTGCTTTCAGCTCGCATGCGTATGAAAGTTGCCTAATTGTAAACGATATCGCCTAAGTGCGGCATTGACCCGGCTGCCGATAGCCGGCAGCTGACGGACGACGAACTAATGGCATGCCGCCTGAAAACTGAAATTGCCCCGCAAGCGGGAGGCCTTGACTGATGAGTCGCCGCGGTGACCGACGTCGTTCGATAATTGCGACGTTTTGGCGAAAATGACCAGTAAATGCCGAAGGCTGTTGCGTGACTCCCGCCCGTGTCGCGTGCGCGCTGTTGGTAACGGACCGAGCGGCGCGCCGGCGAGGGTGTAGTGAGAGATGTTTGTCGACACCGGCATGAAGATAGGAACGGGGCCGCAATAGCCAGACGGTGACGAATTGAAGGATGATATGCTGTCCTAGTTATACAATTTTTAAGTTGGGTGTACTGATGTTTGTGTTTGGTTTTTTATTGCCTGTTTCTTCTCATAGTTGTCACGTAAGCTTAAACTGCTGGTGAGCTACCAGGTGCGCAGTGTTTACCGTATATGGCAAGGTCGACATTCTCAGAGCCTTGGCAGTGTCCTGAGTCGTGGTCGGATCTTGGGAGGCTTCCATCTGACCTCCGCTCTCGTCCTACGCTCCTGTTGAGGGACTTGAAATGTTCGTGGCGCCGATAGCATCGCGTTGTGACGTCCGAGGGGCCGCTGTTCCGCGCGCGCGGCGCCTATGCGACCTGGTGTGTCCCCGGAGCCCGTGGTTTGGCATGACTGTGGAGCCCTCGCCACACGCAGTGTACGTCCGAACTGACGCGTGTCCGTGGAACTTATGGCGTCACGCGTGTCGTTGTTGGACTCACGCGTCGCACGCGGCGGTGGCGTAACCTGATGTGTCCGTGAATGTGTCCTGAGGAGCCTGCGACGTCAAGCATGATGTGTGTTGGATCCGCGTGTCGTATGCACTGTCTGGGCTTTGGACACAATGTGTCCGTTGAGCATGTGATGTTGAACATGAGGAGTGTTGGCCCCATGGGATGTGCAGCGTCCCTCGTGGCTGGGACCTGGCGTGTCGGTGGAGCCCGTCATGTCAGGTGTGAGGCCCGTCAGGCCTGTGGTACGGGCCGCGGTGTCCGTGCCACCCGGCCTCCACGGCAGGCGGCGGCGAGATCGTCCGCTGACCGCCGGCCCGTGCGGCGCCGCAGGACCTGTTCGCGGCGCGGACGTACGGCGTGCTGTACCCGGCCGACCCGGCTCAAGGTGGACGTCAACCCGTCGGGCGTGGTGATGGTGCGCTGCGGCGCCGTCGCCGGCCGCGGCTTCGGCCGGCCGCCGGCGCAGCGGGCTGACGCCCGGCCGCCGGCTGCCGCTCGCCGCCGGACGCTTCTTCTGAGGTGCGCGCCCCAGGGAGGCTCGTGCCTGAGACGGGCGGGGCGGGCGTTACCGGTGGGACTGGGTGTGGGAGGGTGGGGTTGTTCTGGCGGGGTCGCGTACACTGCGGGTCCGTGCGGAAATGGAAGGGTTCTATCTGTCGTACTGTGGATCAGCATGGAAAAGGAGGGGTCCAGGGGCTGTCTGTTGGTCTGAGAATGACCGGTGATATGGACGCTGCTTGGTGAGATCGAAAGGCGTGCACTCTCAGTTGGTTTTGGAGCGAAGCTCGCGAACTTCCGATCTGCAGAAGGATTCTCTGTCTCCTGATCTATCAACTGGTTCACACGACATCGTCCGGAGAGGGTGAAAGATAGCACGGCAATCATAAAAGTCGTTTGAAGACGCGCATCGGGTCTTACTGCATTCACTACGGACCACCTTTAGCGCTGCTGAACCCAGTAGCCGATATGCGTCCTCCCCAACTGTCACGGCACGCTGCCCCAATGTGACCTCGAGCCCATCCACAGCCCCCAACTGTCACGGCACGCTTGCCCCAGTGTGACCTCGAGCTCATCTACAACTGCCGCCCACGCAGTCGGTGACAGTTGCGCCTCGAGCCCACCCACAGCCACCACCCACGCAGGGATGGGAAAATCGAAACGTGTCAATAATGCTATCTTTCCGCAGGAACTGCCATTGTCGGAGACATAACGGATGAGATTCGTCGGTTGTAAGGTAAATCGACGGCATTTTTTTGTGCAGCTGTTTCTCATTTCATGTGGACTGAAATAGTTATTTTTGATTATTTGCATTAAAGTATTACGTTTCGTGTGCACGGTTTTAATATCTTGTCATCACTTTCGTAGAATAACTACTGCCATCGATTTTTTTACGTCAAGCTCGAAGTTCGGTTTCGATGGTTATTAATGCGCAAAAATGTTTTGCTTTTCAAAAGCACAAAACGAAATCATCTCGGGTGTGTTTATGCGTTACTGCGCGTTCATCTTTTGCCAGGAAATTGGTGTACATTTTTGGTGTCAAATGTCGTTCTGTTTGTAGCGGTGGTATAACTGAAAATGTTATAGCGCGTGCATGCTCTGCGATGACGTCATGCATGCACAAAGGAGGTCAGTATTGCTTCATTGATTCAGCAAGCTTTGTAAACGCACCGTGCTATTTTATGTTTATTTCACGTCGGGACTATGCGACACCATGCGAATTCAAAGCATTCAGAACAGCGCTCTTGTTAATGCACCCTCAATGGTTGATTTGACCGCAGTAATGAATGGTCTATTGTCGCCCAACCAACTGGGTTTCTTCGCCGCCGCGAGTTTCTTTTGTTCTGTCCTGATATGGCCGCCCATTGCTCCGCACAATAAAGGAGCTGTCCTGGTCGTGGCGCCTGTTCAGTTCTGCACCTTTTCTGGACCTTTGGACCTTTTCTGGACCTTTTCTGGACCTTCTGGCGCCTGTTCAGTGGACCTTTGAATGAGTCGTTGTCTGCGATGGAAGCTTGGACTTGTGTATATGCATGGGGGCTATATGTACCGTGCCATGCCTGTCGGCACTGTCTCAGCGTGAGCGGGTGTAGTGCCGTGAGCCCTTCCCTGGGCCCTGGGTCTTTCCTTACGAGTGACCGGACAGTTGGCTTCTCCGACTTACAGTACCTTGGAGCTAAACGTGGTAGGAGGGTGATAAAACGCCATTGGACATGTATTGTGAGTCGAATGTGGAAGTAAATAACTCCGTTTTTCATACGCTGTTGTGAACATTTTGCACGGCGTTTGTTCGGGCTGCAACGGCACTCGATGCCGCACCCACCAAATTCTGAATTGCGAGCGCAAACAAACGCAGTGCAACGACATCAGGTTCATCACGTCAAAGTCAGCGATCCACGACGGTCTGGATGTTCATGTTTTGGATGATACTTGATCCGACGATGTGTCGCCGTCGATGCCGGTCTCGCTCAGTTCGTGCTACAGGACCCAGAGTGCTGAGCAGGCGCCGTCCGCGCGCAGCCTGGTGTCGGCCGAACGCTTCACTGGACGCTACTTCAGTCCCCTGGAGAAACTGTCCCGCTCATTGCATTACGTGTGCTGCTTGGTACGGCGTGGGGGGCGGGTCACCGTTCAGGCAGCGGCTGGGGCGAGGCATGTGGGTGCCGCGCGTGTGCGTGCCACCGCAGCGGTTTGTGGTCGGTCCCGTCCCCTGTCCGCAGTACGTGCCGCCGCAGCGGTCTGTGGTCGGTCACGTCCGCTGCCCGCAATGCGTGCCGCCGCAACGGTCTGTGGTCGGTCCCGTCCGCTGTCCGCTGTGCGTGCCGCCGCAGCGGTCCTGTGGTCGGTCCCGTCCGCTGTCGGCAGTGCGTGCGGCCGCAGCGATCTGTGGTCCGGTCCCCTCCGCTGACCACCGTGCCTTGCCTCCACCTGCCACTGCCTGCCTGTCCCCTGTGGGTCTCACGCCGCCTAGTCAGGCCCTGGCCGGGGGGCTCCTCAGCCGGCGGTGTCTGCCGCCGTCTGCCACTGCTCCGTCTGCCGTTGCAGGGCGGCCGGGGAGCGGGCCGTGCCGCCGACCATGCTGTGCTTTGTGCCTTGCCGACCGGCCGGGGGTGAGACGTGGGCGACCTCGCCAGAGACGGCCCGCCGTGGTGGGCCAGCGTCGTCCGAGGCCCCGACGCCGGGCTGGCCGGACGTCGGCTCAGCGCTCTGCTACGGGGCCCGTCGGCCAGAACGGGCGCAGTTTCTGCTCCTGGGTCAGCCAGGCCAGAGCCGGGTCGAGGGGAGTGGGTAGTCGCTCTGGTGGTCCATCGAGATCATCAGCTTGATTGTACGTAGCTAGCGAAGGATTATCATGCTTCTCATCCGCATGTATTGTCTAGGGTGGCTCTGCCGTTGCTCTGTCGTTTGACGTTGGCGCGTATGACTGACGCCGGTCCACCTCCAAGATGGTGCGCTTTTGATTGCGTTTTACGGCCCGATTTGAGTTCACCACGAGCGGTACATTTCCAGATGCAAAGCCGTGTTGACAAATTGTGCATAACGGTGGGTATTTCTGCGGAGAAAGTTTGTGGAGTCCAGCCGTGTAAGGTTTGGCCATTTACCATTGTGGGCAAGGTTTTTAAAACTAAAAGGAACGCAACAAGGCGACACACCCAGAATATGGCCTGTTTGAAATGTTAATGCGTAGGTGTTCTTGCTATACATTTGAACCGAGTGTGTTTATGAAACTGTATAAGGTTTGGAAGATCACTTGATAATGTCGCCTGTCCTGTGGCGCTTAGGTGCGCGTCTATATGCGTACGGACATTCCCATCACGGTTGTGTTTGATGCTGCGGAATAAACTTGACAAATGCTGCTGGGTCCTGTGGACCTCGCCGGATGTGAGTGAAGTGAAACAAATGCCCAAGATGGTGGCGACTAGACTGGAAGTCGCGTCTAGTTTGCATCAGTGTGCGTTTTTTGCGGAAGGGGGCAGTTGTCGGAGGCATACGTTTGTAGCGTAGTCAGAGGGCGGCACCTCGACTCGGCTTTGCCCTGTGTCGATGTGCACCGTTGCGACCAGTCATCGATGCATCCAAGCTGGCATGGCCCCCAAGGCTTCAGCTTCCCCGAGCGGCTTACCGGGTCAATAACACACAAACGCTTTGCACCGATCCGAAATTCGTCGTTGAATCATTCAAAGGCGCAAATGAGGTCAGAGCCCGCTGAAACGCGAGCATTTTGAAACCAAGTAAATCTCTTGTGTAAATGCCTTGTCGGTCTTCACATAAATTGTCTTGAGAAACTATGCCACTCATTGCACGACACGTATAACATGCTACGGTAGGTCCTACGACAGCGGTCGTTCACAAACACCTACCGCTCTCTGGCCCGGATGCCACGGTAGCTCCTACAACAGAGCGGTCGTTCACAAACACCTGCCGCTCTTTGGCCCGGATGCTACGGAAGCAGCTACAACAGAGCGGGTGTTCTCACCCACCTACCGCTCTCCAGCCCGGATGCTACGGTAGCTCCTACAACAGAGCGGGCCGTTCACAAACACCTACCGTCCTCTGGTCCGGATGCTACGGTAGCTCCTACAACAGCGGTCGTTCACAAAACCTACCGTTCTCAGGCCCGGACGCCATGGTAGCAGCTACAAAGAGCGGGTCGTTCTCAAACACCTACCGTTCTCTGGCCCGGTCCGCGACTTCAACCGGAACCGCTCGAGTGGACGGCACCGCGCGAAACCACACACCTAACGATTTAGGATGCAGTTCAGGAACCTGCCTCCCAGGGGCACGTGACATATCGGCTCTTGAACGTCCTCCTCCTTGGAATAAGCGTCATTCATGAGACAGCCTTGTGTAGACAATAATTATGCAACAAGTGGTCGCATCGCAAAACCATGGTGGTGCACAGCATAAATACATCACAACCTTTGTTCGCAAGCCACGTAAGCAACATGAAATACGTCTCCCTGATGTATCTCCCACCGTCGATTGCGCATGGGCATTAATAAAAGCAAAACCACACGATTTCACCCAGTGAGGCACTTACATGGATGGCACGTGTCGGCAGACACCCTGCAGAGCCACTGTGCACCAAACTTTGCGCTATGATCAAGTGCCTTCAGCTTCGCTGGAAGCTTGTGCTCTGCCAGCAAATGCATGGAAGTATTTGCTACCTTGTACATGTGCATGGCACAAATGTATAGCATGGTTCAATACATGTTCCGTTTCGACGTAAAGCTCCGTGGTGGACTTGAGACATGCCAGAAGCAACAACTCACCAGTAGGCTGTTGGCCGACGTAGAATATTTCATCTTCCATGTGGTGTGTGAAAGGCACCGTGGGTTCGATTATATAACATCATCTTCGCTCGACATCAGGGTCACCCCGGGTCACTAGACAGCCGCGCAACATCAACTCATCATCCTTAAAAGATCCACCGCGGGCTAGCTGATCCATACGACGAAGCTAAAATATGTCTAAATCAGGATCACTAAGTAGTTTCGAAAACTGCACAGCGGACTCTGTGCGAACTTCGATCCCCAAAAGCTGTCCACACACCTCAACAACACTCAACCACCGATGCCAAAAGCTCTGTGGCAGGCCGAGTGGCCGGAGACGCCGACTGCCCGGCGCGCGCCGCATTCGTCCGGGCGGCCGCCAACCCCCGCGGCCCGCGGCAGTTTCCGGCGCAGTCGGCGGCCGGCGTCGGCGCCCGCGGCTGGATGCTCGCCTACCTCGTGCTGCTCTTCCCTGCTGGTGTTCGTCACCACGTTCTTGTGGCGAGCGTCCGTCTACAACCGACCCGCGCCGCTTCTAGGGCCGCCATGGCGGCCACGGCCGGGTTCGTGCAGACGGTGCTGGCCAGCGTGTGTCTGGAGACACGGCTGCCCAGCCTGCCTACCGTGCCCGCCGCTGACCGCCACACGGCAGGTGAGTGTGGGCTCAGCGAGCTGCCGAGGATGAGTGATCGGCTCCGCTGCCACAGCCAAACAGGTGAAACTTATTGCGCTTCTCCCCATCCGCACTTCACGTTGGTGAGGTTTTCCCGCTCTTCAGGCGGGTTGTCAAGATCTCCACGTCCATAACTTAACAGCAACAAAGTGTTTGCG